CAAAGGCGCCTGGCTCCCGGCGGCCCTGGGCGGCCTGTTTGCTGCGGCCCCTCTCTGGCCCAGTGCCTGAGCGCAAGCCCCCCGGGCGTGCGCGGAAGTTTTTATTCCACCAAACGAGCGCCTCACATGGCCGCTTCTGCAGTGCCCCCTTTGTGCTGGGCCGTCGAGAACTGCAGCCGGCAGAACCTGCTCCCATTCCCCCTGGCTAAGCAGGCGTGGAGTTAAAGACCTTGCTCCTGGCAGGAGAGCCTGGGAATTGAACAAGCATTTGTTCCCCCAGATGCCCCAGGGCCATGCACTGTGCGAGCCCGACCCTGCTGCGCTTGGGCTTTTTACAAATTCCTTTTTGTGTGAAACATGTTATGTTTGGTCTCAGCCCAAATATGAATTTTTAGGAATATCTAGGCAAAACTGATGGGCTATTTTGACATATGAGTAGGCAGTGCTGTTTTGACTGAAACCTGATGTACATGTAGCTCTAAAATAGCTGAAGTTAAAAACATCAAACTTGGTTTGTTCATAGAAAAAACAATCCATATTTGAGGTAAATTAACTTAGTATTTTTTAAGCCAAGAACTTCTAAAGATGGATTATTCATTGTCTGTGCATTAAAATATGTATATTTCGATGTCCTTATGCTAGAGTGGCTTAAAATTCTAGGAATGTGCTGACTTACTTCAGCTTTGACAAATACTGCTTTAAAACCCCAAAGCAAAAGTTAAATGGTGTTCTTTTTGAAATAAATCTGTTTACGGAGTAACTTCCTGCTGTTGTATTTAGAGTTTGATCCAAAGCCAGTTGAAGTCAATTGATTCCCACTCGATTGAGTGGGCTTTGGATCTGGCTGATTCGCGAACAGGCCACAGGGGGCTGGAAAGCCCCGCTCTTTAACGTGCCTCGTTAGTGCGGCGTTTGAGCACAAGGAGATGGCAGTGAGGGCGTGTCCACGCAGGGTCCACCTCCTCTGCCCTCCAGGGGAGATGGCAGTGTGGGCCATGCCCGGGTATGCGTGCAGGGCCCTGGCGGGGCTGCGTGTGGCTGCAGGGGGTAGCGAGCTAGTGTCTGAGAGCTCGCTCCAGCGTGCCCATGGGCTGTAGCGGCACCTCCTACTCGTGGAGAGCGGGAGCCAGGAGCCCTCGTGGTTCCCCACCAAGCAGCGAGTGACCCGGTCGAACAAGCAAGCTGCAAACTAGTGCTGGCCGAGACGCCGGAGACCCCTTAGGCGGGGCCGCGATCCAGGGGCCCATTGGGGCCAGCAGCCTCCTCGGGGCAGGCAGGCCCCAGTCTCTGTGCAGCTGAATGAGCCTGGGAGCAGCTGGGGGGGGGGGGGGAACCGGCGGGGGGGGGGGGCCCACACCCCCCCCCACACCCG